CCCTCCAAAGAGATTATCCTAACCACAGGTGCATCAAGCCATGGGATTGGCGCAGTAATTTCACACACGTACAGCGATGGATCTCAGAAAGTAATCGCCTATGCCGCCGGAACACTTACGAAGGCCGAGAGGAACTACAGCCTGATCGAGAAAGAAGCATTGGCCATAGTGTTCGCGTTCAAGCAATTTCACAAAATGCTATACGGCCTCCGCTTCAAGGTTCTGACAGATCACAAGCCCTTGCTCGCTATCTTTGGTTCGAAAAAGGGCATCCTGGCCTACACAGCCAACCGGCTACAACGTTGGGCTCTTACCTTAATGGGGTATGATTTCGAGATCCATTACTAGTCGACAATTTCCATTGGCCAAGCGGATGCACTGTTGCGCCTAATTGATGCCCACTAGCAAGAACATGAGAACACAATCATTGCCTCGGTCGAGATAGAATCTGATGTCAACTATCTGGGAAGTGATGCCTTGCACGGTCTATCAGTTACCGCAGAAGCTGTACGAACCGAAACGCTTCGGGACCCCGTACTCAAGAAAGTTACACAGTTTCACAAAACAAGTTGACCACGTTCATGTCCATCTGTCGAGTTGCAACAGTACTTCCAGAGGAGATACTCGCTGTCTATTTTGAACGACTGCATACTATTTTCGGAAAGAGTGGTCATCCCCAAGGCCATTCAGGAGCGCCTTATTCGACAGTCCCACGCCGGGCATCTTGGAATCAACCTGATGCACGCGCTTGCCTGCAATTATGTATACTGGCCCTTCATGGACAAACAGCTATAATAAATAGCTAAACGCTGCCAAAATTGCGTCAGTGTCTTCAAAGCGCCACAAAAATCAGTACTCTATTCATAGCCAAAAGCTACTAAACCATGGTGCCGCATCCATGTCGACTTTGCAGGACCGATCAACGGCCGAAGTTTCCTCATCATAGTCGACAGCAAGTGGCCTGAAGTATTTCTCATGGATAACACAACCACCAATACCACTGTATCAAGACTGCGCCGAACCTTCAGCAGATTCGACTGTCCTGAGACAATTGTAACTGACAATGGCACACAATTCAATTCGGCAACTTTTACGGAGTTCTACAAGTAATGCGCCGTTCAGCACATTCGCTCACCGACGTTTCACCCACAGTAGAATGGTCAGGCAGAATGGTTTGTCGATACGTTCAAGCGAGCTCCCACAAATCGAAAAGAGAGGGAGGTATAGGGGAGGTGGTTGACCTGTTCCTTTTCCTCTACCGATCAACACCGAATCCACAAGCCCCGGACGAAGTTTCTCCAGCACAGGTTATGATGAACCGAAAGCTCCGCATACTTTTCGATGCCATCCGACCGCGCTCGGAATCCCCTCTTGGTGAAATAAACCACAGAATGGAACAGGATTGTAACCGGCGTCATGGAGCAAAGCAACGGTCGTTCACGCCGGAGCAGACAGTGCTAGTACGTGATTGACGGGAAGGCCAGGCGAAGTGGACGTCAGGGACGGCCAAAAACAAGTGCAGACATGTCATGTATGACATGATCGTGGGCGCACAGATCTAGGCACGGCATGCAAACTGGTTACGACTAACACTGTGCCAATCAGAACAAGCAAGGCCTACCGACCTCCCGTTCGACTTGTTGGTGAAAAGCTTCAATTTGCCGAAGGAAACCGTGAACAACTGCTCACAGTCAAGCAAAGAATACAGAATACACTAACATCGGAACCCAGTTCTCGGGCACTCCTGCCAAGGAGATGGACCGACAGGCAAAGCACACAGCTCCGAAGACTGTAAGTTAATCCTAGGCTTCCATCCTATTCCTCAGACGATATCTCAGGAGGGGTGGTGTCCGGGAGAAAGTAAAAATTGTCTAGAAAATCCACTATTTTAGCGATTAAACGATTATTACGGATTGTCGCTTCGATTTCGAACAATCTGGAATGTTCTACCTTCTGCACGTGACTACCAACCTCCTGACATCTCGACCACTACTACGGGGAACCACCAAGCTTGGTAGTTGGCCTTCCAGTTCCAGAAGTCGAAGGTCAGTACGAGACCTATAAATACAACCAAAGTCTGCTGCAGTTGTGCAGTGTTTTGTTGACGGTGGTTAACACGTTATTTTGTCAAGGTCATTGCTGTTCTGCTTTTTCCTTCGGTTGGGCTAGAAGTTTTGTGGAGTAGAAAAGTGCCTATTTCGGAATCGTGTCTAGTGAGAAGATTACAACATCTTCCATATCGGTAAAATTTCTGAGAGTGACAATGAGCAGTGAGCTTAAGTGGTTCCTTCGTGTGAGCGAAACATTAGCTAGTTATAAAACTCACATTCTATGTTACACGTCTCAGGTCTTCTTCCGTATCCCATGTTTTTATCCAGCGTTTTGTCACAGCATGTGTGTTACCCTACTGGACCTATTGCTCTCCCGTGATCTTTTCTGGTCTCCTGAGCAATGACCTCAAAGTAATTGTCAGATCAGTGAAGAATCTATCCCGGTGTAGTGGCATTTCAAAGCAGCAACTTGCTGACATCATTTTAGCCTGTCATGTCAGCTCATATAATAAACTTCCACGTAAAATACTCACCCATGTTAACTATCCCCTCTACAGAGCGTTGTCCGAATGCGTATCAGCCTCCTCGACCAGGCCCAGCTATACAACCATATTCGCTCGCACAACAGCTCGTGGTTCATCAGTAGTTCCTTGCCTGTCATGTTTATTAAGCATTAAAAATTCATTCATTCGAGAACTGGTTATCACTTCAGTGAAATTTGTTCTGTCAATTTTTTTAACGATTATGGTTTTATATCTATTCTGACGTGCTGCTCGTTTACCTGTCCTTACGTAGTGTTTGTGTTAGCGCTGGATATTTACCTTCCATAGATGCATAATGCACATCTTTGACTGACTGAAGTCGTCAGTATGTAAGCGCACATTTTTCACTTACTGACGGTTTTTTTTTACCTCGGGAACCTTATTATTCGACCTGTTTATAAAGTGGATACGTTTACCGAGACTGGTTGTGAATTACGTTGTCTCAAGTCAAGTCAAGAAAAGTTTATACACCCGTGTGGGGGAGCATTTTTAGCAATTTACACCCACACTGCGGACATCATACTACGACAAGAAATCGGTGGGGAAATAATGCGAAGTGACTAACAGAACAAATGGTTCCTTTTCAATCAAGTAGGCCATCTCATGTTTGATGCATCATTACTTTTGGGTAGACTAACAAGCAAAACAGCTAACGTAAGATGGAGAGTTGCGATACGAAGAGGTGCAAGTGGAAGTAATGGATGCCGTACTTGCGAAAACACTGTAGTGGGTGTGAGAAGATTCGTTTAGAATCTTAGATGAGAAGTTAAAGTTTGCGTCAAAATACTCGCTAACCACAAAATTAACCATGGATTCTCTGCTTACTCCAGAGCATCGGGAAATAAACTGAGCGCACACGAAGAATATAATCTGTTCGGACTAGTCCGGGGAAAATAACGGGGGAATAGTGCAACAAATGGTGGAGCATGCATGCTTTTACAAACCTTAACAATAGTGCATGTGGTACGGAGAGAATTTTGAGCCTGAGGAAATAAAAGGGTAGTCTTCTTACTTTTTGAAATGCTTCATGGATGTGTGTCGACCAGAATACAGTGTAAGGCAAAAAAACACTGAGATACTTTATGGAATATACACTAGGGATGCTCTGGTCACTCACAATCATCGTAGGAGAGGTATTTAAAATAAACACAGTCTGTCGGGGCGGAGAAGAGAGAATGTAACATCAGAGCACTTAAAAGTGTTAAGGAATATGGACCGGGAGCTTGACCAAGTCAAGAATTTGTCTAATATTCGTTGGAGCTTCGAATATTCCTTAATTACTAGGGTCATACACCCTAGGATGACGTCATCGGTGTATTTAAATCCATCGAAACTGATTGGTGTCAGCGGATGTTCAACATAGATGGAAAACAGAAAGAGGGATGAAATAGCTCATTGCAACACACACCCCCAATTAGCTGAGATTGCGGAAGACCTTCTACCGCATAACTGGGTGAAGTCTGTGCCATTCGTAGTGTTCATACATTACATTATATGTGTATAAGGGAACGCCGTTTTCGAACAAAAAGTTTAACGGTAACAATCTGTCAAGGCTCCCAAAAGCATTAGTAAAATCGACGAACAGGAACCGCACAGTCTTGCATGTTTTATCCAAAGCAGATGCAATGGAATGCGCAAGTTACTAAACGGTATCCAGTGTAGGGTGTTCTGGTTTGTATGCAAACTGTTCATTATCATTGTTATGATCGCTTGTAAAATTATGTGGAATTAATAGTTTTCCAGTCATCTTCAACAGCACCGAGGTGCACCTTATTGACTGATGCTCCTTTGATTCATTTCTAAGCACAGATCTTATTCTGACTTCTTTCCACACCTCGGGGATGGTGCCAATCGTTAAACATCGGTTGCAAATCCCTACCATAGGTAACTGCAATGCATCCGCATATTCAGAGCGATTGTTGACAAGCCATCAGGACCCTTAGTCTTGTTTGCTTTCATTCTTGTGAATTCCCCCTATGCACTGATTTGGTCAAATAGGGCGGGAGGATTCGTGATGGGGAAGGAAGGTAGGGAGAATGTGCTTAATTATGAGAAGTTAAACTCTGCGTTGAGCCTGTCCACATTCATAGTACCGATTTGGTTCAAAAGCATCCACAGGTCACAGAAACTGTGGTTTCCTAAAACGACTTCAATGGATAGGCTATTTAACATTTTTATCTCAGCTTTTATAGCCCCAAACAGATACTTGACATAGGCAGTTAGCATGTATTTGTAAGCCTGTCCTTTTTCTCTGCTGTTGCTTGAGTAGTGGATATCAAAATCTATTAATCCGATGGTAGCTTGTCTCAACGGAGCGATACAGATTCGAACTGAAATTAGTATCGTCTGTGAAGTGCTCGCATTGCGCTTTCTAAGGTTGCTTGTGTTGTTACTGTCATCGGTTGCGATGCGATACCAACTATTAATATGCGGTAAGTTGGCACCTCCACGACTTTTGAAAGTATCGTTTTGCACCCACCGTTTTTGTTGTGTTCTTTGGAATTGCACTTACTCTCGCACTCTTTTTCCCTTAATTATTGTTTCCAACTTCTCTCAGGGTGTGCAAAAGCTTCCCAGACGCAGGTCAACGCGCACACCGAAATCAAAGGCCGGTGCGGCATGGTCGCCTGGAAAGTTTTGCATATGCACTTGGTCGGAAGATGAAAATTACTATTTCGCCACTATATCAGAGGCGGATGCGCAAAGTGACCGCTATCTCGTTCGCTTCTGCCATTATGGAAATACCGAATGGAAAAGCTCGTATGAACTTCATGAGTTAGGCTCTGATTTTGAGCCTTTAGTCGAAGACGAATGTAACAAACTAGCCATGGACAAACTACGAGTACACGTTTTCTCCTTTCATCTATCACTTCATTATTTTCTCGCGTAGAGCACTATCAACTCCCATTCCAAACCTGTGATGAAGACCACAGTATTGAACGAAGTTGAAAAAACGTGAGTTTACTCCTGCTTACCTTGTTACTGACGGCATGCGGAAATAAATGAGAGTAACTCACTTGATATTGACCCGGTCACCATTTCGAATGCGCTGCATCTCGTCTTCTATCTAGTGCTCGAGCGTCAGCAAGTGGCCTTTCTTCGACTGTCACAGTATGGGATAGCACTACTTCGGTTTGAATGTTAGATGTAGATTTGTCCACTAAATTGATTGATATTGATTCATATTAATGCAAGTTGTTTTCTTGATATAATTGTCGTCCGTAGTATAATCTTGCAGCTTACTTTGACTCAGTAACCTTACCATTGGTTTCGTTTATTCTCAATTTTTTGACGCATTCTTACCGAATTCTCTGATTTCAACCTTCCTCCAACCAATCTACCGTCACCGTGTCCTTTCGGTTTTACACCATCGGCTACTTTTCTTTTATGTGAGAACTTGCAGCTCGAATCCATACCATGTATCCAACTTTGTCTCATTTGATCGAACGTGCCCATGAGATACCCAAACAATTAATATCCGCCCATGCGAACCCGCTGAACAATGCGTGCAGACCTGTGACTGTGTCTCACTTATGTTTTCACTTAGTTCACTGTAACACAGTTCACTCGCCAGTTGTATGATCCTCAGTGCAGAGGCGTATCGTGTACGATTATCACGCAGCATGCGATAACAGCTACCATGTGATCATTTACTGTTGCTTGTGAATAGGCTACTATCCCAACGAAGACAGGTGCTGTATTTGAGTTTGACTGGGTGTATCCCATTCGATTCACTCATCCCACGCGGTTGCTACCGCGTCACGCAGTCTAACCCCTAACCTTGTTCCGCCATCTTTGCAATATGAATAAAACTAGTGATTCCTTCAAACACAAGCTCTTCGACTCGGCTATCGCGTTTGGGTCTCCATGGTTTTCTTATCATTGCAGTCGACCATGGACGATCTGGGGCACTTGCCTCGACCTGGATTGAGACATCCTGTGTCCTGGCGCAACCATCCACTTTTGGCTTCAATGACATGCTTGTTCATCAGCCGTATTCACTATCCGCGGAGCAACAGTGTCGCTAAGAATTGTAGCACCCGTTTTCATTAATGGGTGAAGTGAACGGGCCGATTATAGATTATCATAACCTCCTATGCACTCTACGAAAACGTTCAAAGTCGCTTGACCGCTAATCATTAGACGTCCGAATAGCGGGTTGATTTCCTCAGCTTCATCGATCTTAATGAAAGTACGCAATATGCCTTTTCGTATGCAATCAGGTTGGAACCTCTGTGGCTCTTTGGAACTCCATCTGACCAGTAATCTCAGAGTCGGTAGGGCTCATGAGGTTGAAAGTCAGTTCTATTAGGAACACTTGAATGTTGCTTGAATTCTTTTGACATATTCACGGTAGATTTCCATGAGTGAGCCAATGGTTGAAGAAGATAGATAGACGATTCACTTTTAGTTACATAGGATTAAATGCTAGATGATTTCAGGATCAATCCTGTCTACGCAGTGTGTTGGAATTGAAAGTTGGGTCACCTGAACCCACATGGGATGTTGATGCAACAATCATCACTATCCACAGAGTGCGATAAGGGCTAGTGCTACTGATGCGGAGTGAAACATCTGACGTTTGCTCTTTCTTCCAAGAGTAACACACGTGTACCGTCTGCATTTAGATCCGTTGCGTCCACCGGTGGGTCTTCTGTAGACACCTCCGTCTGCTTCAGTACATGTTTGTTCTCAGCGAGTCGCGGTCAGCAAGGCTCAGCAGACTGCAGCTAGCATATCCGCCTGTGAAAAGAGGAAGTACAGTCGTCTATCGAAATAATGTTCGTATTAACTGTCTGTGTATCGAGTGCGCCAACCGGTCGAGCAGAATCCAGTCCATTGGGGTCCACACTGCAAACGGCTCTCTGGATCTACCATAACATTGCCCTAGGACTAAATGAGCGTGTGGAACATTCATACCCATTAAAAACTTACCACTGACTGAGACTATCTACGAACTGCAAACCTTACAATGGTTCCCAGGGCTGATTTTGGCGGTACTCGTTTGACTTAAGGCATTCTCTAAACAGACCACTCATAGTCCACAAACACGCTCGGGTTCGTCCAATAGTAGGAACTTCGATTCCACCACCTGTGAACGTGCCTTAGTCTGAACTAACGGTGGATTGTTTCAGTCGGGTCTGTTTGCCAGTGAAGCTTATGCTGCATTTGCTCTTCATTCAGCCAGATATCTGAGCCGGGGTTTTCCTTTGCAATGTTGTACTTTCTTGTTATTCTGATATGAGCAAATCATCGCACGACAGCTGCTATGATTATTGTACCCTTCATACCTGCACATTAGTCTAACTGCCATAGGGTATTGAGGCAGCCTTTCATTTGTTCGTACGAATCATTAACCTTTATTGGTGACCATTTAATGAAGGGATCAATGTAGGTTCTGGCTAACAAATATCAACTCACTCTGTTTCGCAACGTGTTGAATTCCGACATGGGATGTTGTCTGAGCTCCTCGGAAGCTCAGCTGGTTGCTAAAGATGCGCCTAAGTCTGAACGGATAGACAGTGGTCAGCGTCTGTTGCAGCTGTGTGCTGAGCACCGCTATTGCTTAGAAGCACTACATTTAAGCAAAGTGGGTGCCGAAGTGCTACTTGGCGTCCTTCTCTAGTTGACCAGTGATGGTCACTAATAGGCCACATTGTCACAGTTTCACACGAGGTGGTTCTAACCTGGACTGTCGCTCTTTCTGGAATACCTGCGTCGACTCTTTTTGATTTCGTAAGCTGTCTTCTTTCTTTGAATTTTACCGGGAGGAGTACCAAGCGTATCCTACGATTAGCAACCGTGGAATTACCCCAGCCATCGGTCAGGTAAACCTGCTAGCATACCGAACCTTAGCCCTATGGACACAGAGTTTCAGTGGGATAACAACTCGGCTACCATACACGGGGCCGGATCGTGTACCTGCATCACTATCAATCGTCACCGTACAAGTCACTGGTTATCTTATACGTCGATGAACCTGTCGGAATTCCAAAAGGAAACTCCTTGCTGAATCTGAGCGCAATGTAGCCAGATGGACTGTCAGGTGCAAACTGTAGTGAAGCCAGCGTGCTGCCAAGGAAGCCTGGTGGAGCTGTAAGACCAGAAATTGAAGAGGCGACAACAGTAAATAATGATCACACGCTCTTTCAACTGATTCGCACACTTGTTCTTAGAAAGTTATGCTTCAGTGGAACAATCAGGGACAACATGGGCACGCTAATTTACCGTAAACGGCGCCGGTTGACTCGTTGGGCGAAGCACTTTCGTGGGCAGTTTGATTGGCACTCCGCTCCTCTACCTCTTCCTGTTCAGGTGGTGCGGGCTGAATCATTGCCGGTTAGCCTAGAAACCCGGTCGATGGCTGAGGTTCAATACGCGATCATTGTCGCGCTGTTGGTCCAGACTGTCGCACTCTGCAAAGCACTGACCTCCCTTTGAAGTGAACCTTGGTCTTTCGATCACGAGGACCGTAGCTGATGCAAATAGAAATTGGGTGTTGCCCGCCCGAAAACACTGCACTACTATGACGCATTTCGATGTTATTACATCTCATCAGATAGCGAGTTAGCAGGCATCGAACATTGAGATTGTGCGTCGCAATCCATCCACACAACGTGTACTTCAAAATGACCCTCAACATCGTTCATTATCTCGATGTGCCAAGCGTTGCCCGTGACCCGGTGGCATAGGGGTAGTCGTCACAACTAACACCCCGATGGTCCCGGATTCAATGCCTGCTAACTCTATCTGATGAGATGTAATAACATCGAAACGCGTCATAGTAGTGTAGTGTTTTCTGGCGGACAACACCCAATCTCTATTTGCAATAACCTCCCTGTTCGAACAGGTCGGAAGTGGCCATCGCAGCCAACTGGAGTGAATCGATCGTAGCGGCATTATACAATAAGCAGTCGCACCAATTGTGCTAACCATGTGGACATTAAACTCTGCTGGTGACGACATTACTGGCCTCAATTCTCGTTCGTCGCCTCACTGGTACGGGAATCTCTGATCAGGCAAGGGCAAGCAGGTTTCAACTCAGGACGGGGTTGTGAACACCATATAATCACTCTGAGGCAGGTACCAGAGCAGCGCCACATGTACCGCAGTCCAATAATAGCTTTGTTTGTCGACTCCACTAGTGCATTCGATTCAGTCGATCGATGCATTCTGTTCGAAATAATTGCGCTGAAAGGTGTTCCCATGAAAATGTGTGAACATTTTGTTTGAACTATGTTTGAACACTACATGCTGCACGAGGGTCTACACTGACCTATCGGATATTTTTCCGATAGTGGGTGGTGTTCGTCAGAGTTGTCCAATTTTCCCCTTTCTGTTCAATTTCCTCGTGGACTCCATCGTGGAATGTTCTCTCGCAGAACCTTGCGTGCATACGTTGTGGTGCGGTCTGCTGGAAGGCTAGTTGTTCTTGATTATGCGGACGAAATCTTCTTGCTGTTTAACTATGTTGGGTTGGCCCAATCACTCCTGATTAGCCTCACCAGAGTGATCCCATTATTTGTTATACGCTTTGCACCTTCAAAGTGTTGCTGCAGGACCACCAGCCGCTTGATGACCTCTTGAGACTTGATAACGAGGAACTAGAGATAGTTGCCCAATTCAGTAACTTTGGCAGCTGCATCAGCAACGATGTGCGCATAGAAACTGAAGTCAGTTCACGCATTGCAAAAGCCAGAACTTCCTTTTTAATCTTCGACATCTTTGGCGGCAAATGGAGTTTCCCTCCGTCTGAAATTCCGTGTATAGTGAGGCCGTCCTCCTTTATGAGGATCTGAGATGCTTTCGAGTCTTTGATGCTCGCTGTCTGCGTAGCATTGCTGGTGTCGAGTGGCACCGGCTTGTCTACAACGATGGTGTGCGTAGGCAAGTACTAGGCAGTAATACTCAAGCTAGTCCGTTAGAACAACAGAAAGCACTGAATAAGTTGCGTT